TATGTAGGGGTGCCCACCCGTCCCCTCACTGAGAAATAGGATACTGCCATTTGATTGGTCCAAAAATAGACCAATCAGATTTCAGGAGCCGTTTTTTCTCTTATTGTAAGGACAAAACGTAGCCATGTTTGGGCCGACCATAGGGTTATCGAGGATGCTCTATCGATTGATGGGTATATGTATGGGCTCCTACCCAGTGAAACACAGCGAAAATACAGCTTTGGGATTTGCCCTTGAGGACCCAAGGGTACCCCCAATAATAGGACTTGAAGATCCAAGGGTATCCCCCAATAATAGTACTTGAGGACGTATAGACACCTCTATAGAGTAGCCCTCGAGAACCTATCAGTACCCCTAGAAATAGTTAGGTTCGTTCGAATGAGCTGTTCGAAGAGTTCGGCTCATTTGAAATGAGCTGTTGAAAAAGCTCGATTCGTTCAAATGAGCTGTTCTAAAAGTTCAGCTCATGTGAGATGAGCTGTTTGAGAAAGGTCAGTTCGCTCGAATGAACTGTTCGAATAGTTCAGTTCGTCTCAGTGAGCGTTTTCAACGGCTCATTATTTGTGAGCTTGAGCTGAGCCTGCGTACCCCTAACTGCAACCGAAGCAGTCAGTGTCAGTACATGTATTGATTCAGTGAACACTAGTGTCAGTGTGTCATTGCAGTCAGTGCGCTCAGTGCAGTGGCATCACTGTCAGTAATTCACTGCTTTCACCGAAACTGCACATCCCTATTGCCACCTATTTCAGCTTATTAGTACTAATAAGTTGAAATAGGTGGCAAAAGTAACTAATAAGTGAACCATCATAGTTTCTGTTTTACATCGGTAAAGTTGATAAATTTATCTCAATCACGATAAAACTTAAGTGGACTTTGTAACTTGTCAAGTGAAAATCAAAAAGCTGAGAGTAAAGGCATCGATTGCAGAAGCACATTCAAAAGGATTCAACTTTTCAAACTAAGATCTAATAGAACATGAGTTTTTGCAACGAAAGTCACAATAGAATTATCGAAAACTCTAAAATTACAGATGGATTTGACTTTGCCCAACTCTGACTGTTTTTAGAGCATTCCTTATATGGATACCAAACCGGCTAGTCAACTCCATACTAAACTATTTGAGTAAGTTATTGTCATATTTTTTATCAAATAATTCCATGTGATTCAATTCTTGTACAGTAATGTTTCAAAGATCGAGAAAGGCATTGGTTTTGATTTCTTAGTATTGATCGCAACGTTAGTGACCATCATTGGTTCATTAATAGTATCTATCTTTGTCTACTGGCAATTAACTCTGATCATGTTATGCTTGTTTACTTTGATCATTGGCGGTTTATTTCTGTTTTCTAAGGTATGATGTATTGTTCAATAAATTAAAACTGTATGAATTATCACAGCTCGTCTCTAATGAAGCAATCAATGAGTTAAGGGCATATGCAAAAGCGGAACAAATCGTTCAAGAAGTATTTAGCTCACTACGAACTGTTCTTTCTTTCAATGGTAGCAAATTTGAACAAAAACGGTAAAAGAATATACAAACGTACCTTAGTTTTTAGCATGATAAAGCATGTTGCTATTTTTATTGCATTTAGATATGAAAGAGAGTTGCATTCAGCTCGTTGGAGTAGTATACGTCAAGGAGCAATGTTTGGGATTTTTACTGGATGGTTATCTCTGATGACCTATCTAATTTATGCAGTTGGTTTCTTCTTTGGTTCTTTTTTCATGTCAAGCAAAGATCATCATAGCTTGGATATCAGTGGCATTTTTATCGTAAGTAATCCACATTATCAGTCAAAATAGAAATGACGATTCGACTAATTTCTTAATGCAGGTCGTCCGGCTATTTGCAAAAAGCATCGTCTGGTTCAGTTTTATTGTTCCTTCTGTTCAATCATTTTCAGAAGCTCGAGGCGCAGCAGCAGCGGTGTTTAGACTTATTGACGAGGTAAATTCAAATGAACTCAGGCCTCATAACGATAACAGTGTTCTCTATTTGTTCGCATGATATAGGGAAATGACTCAAATGTCAATGAAATAGATGTATGGAAAGAAGACACAGAACCAATTTATGATATCAATGGTGATATTGAATTTAACAATGTTAACTTTACTTATCGATCTCGGGAAGATACACCAGCTCTGCATAATCTTTCTATTATTGCTCATGCTGGTCAGACAACTGCTCTTGTAGGTTCAAGTGGCTCTGGTAAGTCTTTTCTAGAATAAAGACACTAAAGAAATCTCTTCCGTATTAATAATTTGTTCATAGGAAAAAGTACATGTATATCACTTTTTCTTCGTTATTATGAACCTTCGTCGGGTCAAATAATGATTAATAGCCGACCAATAACAGACTATTGTGTTAAACAACTTCGGCAATACATTGGGATTGTTAGTCAAGAACCCGTACGTTTTTTTTTTCGTTTTTCTTTTCTTGCTTTCTTTTTAATTCACTATCACAATAGATTCTGTTTAGTATGAGTATTTATGAAAATATTCGTCTTGGTAAAGTAGATGCAACACAAGCAGAAATTGAACAAGCAGCACAAGAAGCAAATGCACATAATTTCATCATGCAATTACCAAATGTTTGTACCACATACACATCTCTATCTATATATACGTATCATTATTTCTTGTTTAGAAATATGAAACATTTGTTGGTGAACGTGGTATACAGTTGAGTGGTGGTGAAAAACAACGTATTGCATTAGCTCGTGCCCTTGTCAAACAGCCTACATTTCTTTTACTTGATGAAGCAACAAGTGCACTTGATAATATTAGCGAAAAAATTGTTCAAGAAGCGCTCGATCGAACGTGTAAAGGTAGCGATTGATTTTCTGCTTATTGTATGGATATAACATGCTGTATAGGTCGTACAACTATTGTAATTGCTCATCGTTTGACTACAATTCAAAATGCTCATCAAATATATGTATTAGATAATGGAACTGTGATTGAACAAGGTACACATGAAATATTGATGGCAAAAGAAGGAGGTAAGTATCAATCAATGGTTAAACATCAACAAATGGAAAGAATCAATGATGATGAAGATACTATGATGCTCTCGCAAAAAGACACAGAAGACGATAACAAGTCGATAAGTCTGTTGATATTCTTAATGTGATGATCTTTACTGTTCTTCATCTTTTTTATTGAATAGTTGAACAAACTCGTTTGCTGAGTAATAGTCCAACTGTTGATGTGAGCAAAGTACAAATACTATTGCAATTGTTTATAATAACCATTAATGATAATCTTTGTTTTAGCAGAGTTCAAAGCCATTGAGAAAAATATTTGTCGTGATAAGACTCCTGTTAATGAATAAATCGGAATGGATCACCATCTTGATTGGTTGTATAGCATGTGTACTTAGTGGAGCAACTCAACCAATGTTCGCATTTTTACTTGCCAAAGTAGTTGATGTGAGTGATCCGTCTATATAGATATTGTGCAAAAAAGGTTGACAATATAAATTGTTTTATGTCGATTTTCTTTATTGTGTAGGCATTCAAATATTGTTCATCCTCTGAACGAAATCGTCAAGTGATGATTATCAGTTCTCTTTTTTTACTTACGGGTGCTCTTTTATTTATTTTTCGTTTCATTCAAGTAAAAATGCTGCTTCTGAATTTGATTCATGATTATTCACTCTTTTTTATAGTATACAGCTTTCGTCATATCAGGATCGAAATTGGCACAACGTATTCGTTCGAAAGCATTTGCATGTCTTCTTCGTCAAGAAGTTGCTTATTTCGATCGACCTGAAAACAATTCTAATACCATTTGTACTCGTCTTTCTTCTGATGCAACAGCTGTGCAAGAGATGAGTAATACGAGATTAGGAGTCATCTGTGAAGCTCTCACAGTGATGTTTTTTGGAATATTATTTGGATGTCTCATAAGTTGGCAATTAATATTGATCGTTTTTGGTTCTCTTTTTATCCTATGTATAATCACTTATGGGGATGTGCGGATAGGCCTATGGAGAACTAAACAATCCAATCATATTGTTGAACGAGCAAGCACGGTAAAATCAGGTTTTAGCTAATGATCTTTTCCTGTAGAGATAACTACAATCATGTTAATTCTTTGATAAATCGAATATATTACATTTATTGTATCTTTTATTTGTGTAGCTTGCTGGTGAAGTTATTCACAATATGCGTACAATGAAACAACTGTCAGTAGAAAAGGAAGTTCTACGACAATATTCCGAACTTATTCATCCGACACTAATGTTGGTCACTCGAATATTATACATTTATAAGTTTTTAATCAATCTTATTTCATCATAGACTGTCTTGGAAACCTTTGATACTAAGTTCCATCGCATATGGCACATACTGGACACTAGATATATTCACTCTGGCATTCCTGTATTGGTATGCGCTCGGCCTCTTTGAAAAGAAAGAACTCATGTTGAACGATATTTTAATGTAATTGCAATTACAGTTTCATAATTTAGAGACAATGTTTTGTTGTTTTTTGAATTTGTTAGGGTGGTTGCTTTTGCTACTTTTCCGATCGAAGTACTAAGAATCGTTGGAATGATGTAACATTATCAACTTGTACTTTTCTTTTTCTACTATTGTCTCCATTCTAGGTCTAGCCGTATCGCTTCATCAGTTTCAAGTGCTGAAGCGTTTTTTGATTTATTTGATCGAATACCATCTATCGACAATACATCTACTGAAGGACAAGAATTGGTACGAGACTATGGAAGAGATCTATTTCGTTTCAATCATGTACAAGCGACAGATGTAATATGATTTCTATAGGTTGATTTTCATGGCGAGATAACATTTGATCAAGTCAAATTTATCTATCCAACTCGGTCAACATCTATTATTCTTAACGCATTTCAATTGAATATCAAACCAAGTAAGTGAGGTAAATTTCGATATAATCATCATCATTTTGTTTTAAATTTCTATTTACTGATAAGCTCAATGTGTAGCTCTTGTTGGTATGTTTGAATTAAATGTTTTTTTTTAAATATTAATTATGTAATATGGTTCATATAGGAGCATCTGGATGTGGGAAGTCAACAATTATTCAACTGTTAGAACGATTTTATGATGTTACAAGTGGTCAAATAGTTAGTATTTCTTCGATGTATAGTATAAGTAATTATGTAAATTTTTTTCACTCAATTAAGCTTCTTGATGGCATTGATATTCGAAAACTAAACCTTGATTCGGTTCGTTCTCATTTTGGCCTTGTCAGTCAAGAACCAATTTTGTTCGATTTAACGATTGCTGAAAATATAGCATATGCCTTAGAAAATATTTCAATGGAAGACATTATCAATGCAGCACGTAGAGCTAATATTCATCAATTTATTGAGCAACTGCCTCAGGTTAAACAATACAAAATTATATAATGTATCTATTGCTATTTTATTATATTTATTTTAGGGTTATGAAACAAAAGTAGGATTGAAAGGCAGTTTCTTGTCAGGTGGTGAGAAGCAACGTATTGCTATTGCTCGTATTCTTCTTCGTCGACCTAAAGTATTGCTCTTAGATGAAGCTACGAGTGCCATGGATTCATACAATGAACAAGTAGGTTTGTTTGTTTTTTTTCTATTTATGAATCAAAGCTTTATCTTCGCGTATTAACTATAGATTGTACAAGGTGCTCTTGAACAAGCTCAAACAGAAGATTCTAGTCGAACATCACTTATTGTTGCTCATCGTCTATCAACTATTCGTTCATGTGATTTGATTTATGTACTTGATAGAGGACATATAGTAGAAAGTGGTACTCATGAAGAATTGATACAAAGACATGGAGCTTATTATGATATGCTTGTTCAAAACAATTTACAATGAACATTATGAAACTATTTTGAAAATAAAAATATATTTCGTTCAACAATAAGATAAACTTTGTCTAAAAACACTGATGTATCGTATAGTTACATGGCTGAATTTATTGTTTAATTATTATTATTATTAAGACGTTGAGTGTTTAATCGAGTTGTCAATATTACATCAATTGTTTTGTTAAGTCCTTAGTCATAACTGAACATAGTAGAACCAAAGATTACCTCTATAACTACTTGAAGTTAATTTTTTTTAAAAACAACTCGCCATAAAAAGGACTAGCTTCGTACATTGTAATAATAGCAGTAATTAATCATGAAATGATCAGTAATAATCATATTTACAACTGTAATGATTATTGGTATCGTTTTATTTTAGTTATCTTATCAATCCGGTCAGATAATTCTCATATAAAGAGGAAAGTGGTAAACCATCTAATCAGTTGTTAAGAGAGACTCTTTGAGCTCATCAAAAAAGCTGTTAGCTCAATCTTTGTGAGATTAAAATGTGAAATACAATGTAGATGCTCTTGGTAATGACACAGAGATATTTTTAGTCTATCTATTTTGCAGTACATTTCTAAATCATCCTTTCACTTATATCTCCAGAACTGGAGTCAGGAAGTAGTTCGTATATTATAATAAGACATTATAGATGTACGGTCGTTGGTTCTATATCAAAAAGGTCTTGTACAGTCGCTGCCAGTGTCACAGGAATGCTGCCATGATTTGTGAACAGCAGAGGAATGAGTCACTTCTCACGCTATATCCTTCAACACTTCTTCGACTGATTACTAAATGATTATCTATGAAGGGGCCATTAAATAGCTATTAATTAGAAATCAGTCAGTAATTAATTAGGTATTAATTAAAACGTCTGTTCTGATCTACGGAAAGCGGGTACACTCTAAAAAAAATGTACTCTTGGAAACCTATAGAGAGTTAGGTGTGGATGTGGATTAAAGTCTTCTGGTCACTCGCTTCCACATCTACACTCATACCTACACCCATGGCCACACCGACACCCACACACTCACACCCACACCTCACACTCCAAGGAGGAAAAAAAGCAGATTTTAAGATTTTGAAATTTCAAAAGATTTTAAATGATTTTAAAATATTTTGAGAAATTTTAGGAGATTCCAGTTCCATGGAATCTGCGCATACTCATATGGACGTGAGGGTTTCTTCTGTACTTCCAATATGCAAGTTACCCATAAGAGTCAACCCATTTTCACTTGTGTTCATTAGGATCGTTCAGTTCAAGCTCAGACCTCCTTATATCAGCGCTTATGAGCGTGATCTCTACATCCCAAGCATCGACCAATCAGATTCGAGGAAACTGTTTCTTAGCTATTGTAAGGAAAAACTATAGTGTTGTGCGGGTAATATAAAAAAGTATTCCGGATAACTCTCTCCTCGGCCCGAACAACCCTATGTTTTGACCTTAAAATATAGGAAAAAAACCGTGCTGAAATCTGACTGGTTGATAGCTTTTTTTCTATCGACCAGTCAGATTTTGGTATGGGTTTTCCCTCTATTGTTAAGATAAAACATAGAGTTATTCGAACCACTCTTAGAGTTATCCAGGATCCTCTTCCATTTGACCCAAACATCAGTATGTTTTGTCTTTACAATAGCTGAGAAACAGCTTTCTCGAGTCTGAGTCGAAAGATTTGAATCGATTTTGAAAGATTCTGAAAGATTTTAGAGATTTTCGATGCTAAAATCTGCTTTTTCCTCTTTGTCACACTCACGCCCCACAGTCACACCCCGCACCCAGCTTTGTTTTCATTATTCATTTGTTTATACATTCAACCTCCGCATTGATATCACTCACTACATATACATATATGCACGAAAAAAAAGTGGCAAAAGTAATAGAAGTATATTAGAAGAATGTTGTTTTTACTTCATTTTCAATGTACTTTTTTATTAATCTCTTTGACTCTTGATATTTGTACTTTCAGAAAAAAAAATCCAATATAATCATACCGTCATCAATCAATGCCGACGTCATCGACAACATTTTTTCGCCCGATAAATTTCTGTACTTGCAGCAAAGGCATCAATCGTATACTTGAATCACAGTGTTGTGTTCTTAATTCTTACTGTAGAAAAGAAAAGGTAGATTCTTTTGTCTATGCACTGCTGGAGATAAATCCAACTATGTAGCCCATCCATACAAGAAAAAAACAAACATAAGAAACAGTAACTTTAGCTTAAACGGGAGTGATAGCATGTTCATACTGTCCATCTTATCCACTCTTTTTTAACTTTAGAAACATTTAGATGTATGGTGTGGGAGTGGGTACTCATATGGGTTTCACTCATGCCACACCCCGGCCCACACCCACACCCACACTCACATCCACACCCACACTCACATCCACACCCACACCCACGCTCACATCCACACCCACGCCCACACCCACACTCACACCCACCCCATTTTTCAGCTCGTTCCTAGTACAAATGTGTTTTCAACCATAAAATGATAGTACTTGCAAATACTGTTCCATCTCCTGATGATTTTTGGGAAACACATTTTGCATATTTCTGATGCGTTTCTATAAGATGATAGGACTTATCAGTGCGAGTATGAGTTTGAAATGATCCTCTGTTGACGAATACCAATAACCTGAAGATAGATACGAAAAAAATATCCAAACCCATTAAGTTCAATATCAGCTAAAGGATTTTATGTACATACTCTTAATAAATCAGCAATTCTTAAAAAATTCGAATCTAGATGTGCAAAATTTCATCGAATTCAAGAATATTTACAGGGTTGAAATGTCTAATGAAGGTTGTAGTGTAACGCCTAGAAAATCGAACTACAAAACGTTATAGAACTGAATTTAATAAAAATCGAGACCTCTTTATTTTGATACATGTTCGTACCAAGATTGTACGCTCTGCATGTTGAAATATTGATCATAATGCATAATGAAGTTCTGCAAGCGGTGTTCCGTGTAGAAAAAAGTATTGACTACTCAATTACTACTTCATTCATAAACGAACTTGCCGTTTAAAATTGAGAATACCATGAAGAAAAGATCTAAAATTCCATTTTGTTATGAAAAGTCGAGCACGTATTGCAAATGCTCATAATATACCTACTACGATCCATAAGGTGACCTGAGCCGGGCATCGTTTTTCTAAATATTTACTACTTTCTAACGATGCTTAACTGTGAAAGTCATAAAGTGTGATACTAATTCACTTGAGTATTATTGGCCAGAAGTTCCATTTTGTCTCATACTTGTCAGCGTTTTCTTCAATATGCATCCTAGGGTAAGAGTTCGAACAATCCGCAGCCATCTTTATAACAGCTTTTAACACTACAATGATATTCATTGTTATGTGTTGTTAAAAATAACTTTCTATTATTCGCTTCTCTTCTTTGCTTAAACTATTTGAAAGCCACAAGTTCAAAGAACTAACTAACGAGAACGGATAAAGCTCATTGATGTTTTTCTCGTAGAGATTAATTCTACCAAATCTAAATTCCCACCAAAAAATTAACTATCAGGACATCTAGATTAGAGATCTACCATGGTACACGGCATCAATATGTAAATGAAAACAAGTCGTTTAAATTGCGTATTGTATCACTTAATTCGGCGATACTAACAGTACAATGTGCTGTTTGAAACGTACTGATTTTGGTATCGTAATCGCGATCCCAAGTGAAAAAAAATTTCTTGATATGATTTCACTTGCATGATATAGTTGGTATGTATTGAGGAGAGCATATTCATAAGTTATTGAGATTTACTATGTGTTCAAAATTATATTAGCAAATAATTCTCAGGTTGTACTTTCACACGGCGTATTGCTATGGATGAGAGAACGTATGAGTTTGACGTATTTCGATTGAAGATACTATACCTTTGAACCAGTGTGTAATGTAAAGTGTTAAAAGTCATGCTGTAGGATACGAATAAAACACTCACTATCAAGACAGTCCGTAACTACGCATCTCGTTCTTAACGCTCTGTGATAGTTTTATAGCATTATGTCGAGAGTGAGAGTCTTTTGCACAAATAAATCTTTAATTCCATGCTAATTCAATATTGTATATCTCTAACTTATATATATTGAGGGTGTAGGTGTGGATGTGGGTGTTGATTTTATTGCTCAGTTTACCCACACCGATAACTCACCCACACCCAGGTGTAATCATTGTCGTCTCCGTATTAGGCATAGCGGCCATAATTTCGATTATCAAGGAAATGAAGTTGAATAAAGTGAAACAGGCAACATTCAACATCAAACTATTCGTTTATGCGTTTTGCATGGCAAGGGTGTGGATGTGGGTGTTGGTTTGCGTCAAAAAGCTACTCACACCCATACCCACACCTACGCCCCACATCAACACCGCACATCGACACCCATACCCCACGCCCCATACCGATATTCCATACCAACATCCACATTCACATCGTCGATGAGATTTGGAAGCTAGCTGCAAACAGAAAGAATTGATAGAAAATTGCTGTCGCCTGCAAACCTCGTTTATTCGCAGTCGAATGATGTTGATGATTATTTTTATAGAACGATGTAGAAATTGAGATGGAGCGAGCACCTATTTACATTGTTACTTTCATGATGTGTTAAATACAATGAATCCCTTCAATTGCTTTCAAATCATGCACGAAGAGATAGAATTATTAAGTTCGTATGTGTGTATTTTTACGTTCGTCAACATCGTTTGTGAGATCGTTTGAAAGCAAACATTACAACATTGGGCGGGCTTCTATCAAGCAAATATACATATATAAATATATATATATATATGCATACAAGCTTGTGCATGGAATTACATTTTTTTCTCTCCTAGCAAGAACGATATTGCGATCATAAGGTAAGAAAAAAAAGGGTTATAACTTATTACGCTAGCATAATGCATATACCTTCAAAAGGGAAAATAGACAGCTGCACACTAGAATATTTACTAGCTAAATAGACTGCAATATAAATCTATACCTATTTTTAAAGATA